TTAATCCTCAGCCAATAAACCTTCAAAAATAACAACCCTATTTACCGTAACAAATATTCTCATACCAGGGCCTTCTGAAAACTCAAGTTAAGCCTTTGAGATCAGAGAGATCAAAGCCGGGATGAAGGATTCAAAACTGCGACCCACGGGTCAGGCAGTAAAGACTGCTTGCATCCTCTTGTGTACTACTAGAGAAACAAAAATACAAATCTGTGCAAACCAAAGACAACCTCGAGTGACTGGCCCTTATCAGAAGAGTCACCCCGGGTACCAAAACAATCGTCTGGTCTTGTGGAGGCTGAAAGACAACAGACCCTTTGCAAAAATCCCAAAACCCTGCGTGCTCCACGCGACGAACTACGGGAGTCGTCGGTACGCCCCTCCCATCGTCTTTCCTCCCACTACCATGTGACATACGCGAATAGCCACAGGCTGTCAAGGCAACAACGCTCGAGCAGCCGAGTCGGACGAGCCAACACCTAGATAACAAAGCCGTAGTGCTGAAACAGATGTCGCCATCAGCGAAGGCCAACGCTAGCTGGTCACAGATTGGGCACGACGATTGCGTTAGCGTTCGGTTTAAACTTGATTCATAGCCGAGCGCTGATGCAGCACTCATTTCCAATCTGTGTCCAGCGTTGGTCTTCGGTGGTGACGCAAAAGCGTCAGCACTATGGTCTTGTTTTCTAGACGTTTTGGACGAGCGCACGGAAATGGGGGAGACGGCATCGCGTTGGCTAGCTTGCCGCTTGTGAGGCTGGCCCTTTCTCATCCCTCTCCTTTGCACCGGTTCCGTTGTCTGCTATGTGGTCCGCTACACCAACGCTTTGTCGAACCTAGTCTAGCCCTGTCAAGGTTGCGATGCAGAATAAGTGGATTCGGTGACATTGCAAGACGTCAAGGAGTTACCACGCATTATGTATTCGTATCGGTGAATAGCTTGATCTGTCGCGATACATTTACACTGCCACAGGTATCATTTTGGTTAAGGTTCATAAGCACAGCCATGGCTGTGGCAGTAGCGGCAGCGACTCACGCGCAATCGCGAAGACGCAACGAGAATGTGCATGATCTGTACCGAGGGTTTATAAAAACCCCTGCTGTCGTGGCGCTGTACATATCGCAGGCAGTCTATTCAAAAGTCTCAAACTAGTCCCAGCAAGTGGGGCAACAACACTGAGGTAAATTTAACGTGACCTTTGGGGCAGTCAAAACTCACCAAAACATTCGACACTAACCATAAACTCTACCAGGACACAACCAAATTACACTGAAATTCATGACATGCACCACAAATAGAGATGGCAGGTATGAGGACTGTGGATGTCTTCAATTTTGATGAATGGGCAGCAAAGAGACAGATAGTAGTAGCCCTAGTGGTTACAAGCCAACGTCACTATAGTTACAGGCTCAGAGTTAAAGAAAACACCTCCCATTCCTATTTACTTTAGCGGAGAGAATACTGGCGACGGAGGCAACTTCCTCCGGAATTCGCTCTGTTAAAGCGGAAAGAAGGAGGAGCTTCCCCTGACCTCTTAAACTGTCACTGACTGTAGTTTGCGTTAGTTGGCAAAGTTTCAATGGGCCATAGACCCTGTCCCCCTTTCCCTCGTGTTCTTAACCAGCTGGTGTAGTGTGCGTCTGAATCGGCAGTGCAGATGGCGGGCACATTGTGCAAAAAAATGGTCTCCTCTGTCTACAGGTGACAAACTTCAAGGAGGAGAGTGGGCTTTGGCTCTTGTAAGCAACTATCTGTGGGATTTAGTCACGTCACCTTGTGGATCGTAAGGCTCTTTCTCTGCATTTGTCAAGATTTTTCTCAACAAAAAGATTTATTGTAAAATAGAATGAAATAATTTTGGAATGCGGCCCAAATTTTTAAACATGACATATCATTTTGAGAAAGTTGACAGGTATGTTCATGTCTCTCAAGTGGGAATAGAAGAAATAACCTCTTGCTTTGTACTTTTCTCGCACCTAAAGGAGATGTGCGGAAAATGCCTTTGGCATCCTGGTCACCCGTTGGAGGATACTGCAAAAACGACTGGGGGAGAGCCCACAGGACGCCGAGGACCGTGTGAAGGCACCCTGCGTTCTCCAGAATTTTTTGATGCAGCAACACGCAGGATACGACGCATACTGCGCAGCTGGGTACGGAGACTCTGTAAATGCGACTGGTCAGAGGCAGGGCGGCGAGTGGCGCAAACTGCTTGTTCAGTCACCAATGCAGGTGACGCGAACACTGGCGCGGAACTTTGCCGACATGGCCCGGTATGTGTGGTACCTGTACAAGTGGTACTTCAACAGTGCTGCAGGCAAAGTGTCCAGGCAGGATGCCGTGCTGAAGTGTTAACTAAGAGGCTCAATTGCAGGTTAAGCATTCCAGTACGGCATCCTGCGTTTTCCTGACTGTGACCTGCACGAGAAAATTTAAACGGAAGACCAGTGACTTCTTAGGTATTCTGCATGTGATGTATAGTCTCAGAAGTCGTCTTCAGTGGTGGTAAAGGCTCTGGTACAAGCTTGGCTCTGCAGATTTTGTTGGTGCGAATACTTGCGCATAAATATATTTGTGGAAAACCATATGCTCGTGCACGCAGAATATCTAAGAAAGACGTTTTTAATAGAAAAGCTGCCAAAAACCCTGCGGGCCACAGCCTTAAAAAGATTGGTAATTGTGATTATGTTCCACATTAGTATTGGAATTTATGCTTCTATCATCAATGACAGGTTAAGAACTAGACGCTCCGTCTCAGGCACAACGTTTCGGTCATTGATGATGCTTCAGAGCACGAGTTGTCAAAGTTCGGCAGAAGGCAACGAGCGTGTGCTGGAGGTGAGCATCTTCTCTGTCCTTAACCTGTCAACAACTCTCGATGTAATCATCATGCAACTTTGCTTGGAGCATCTGTTTTATTTGGCTGTTCTGTACTGTGTTCTATTGCTGCATGAACAGCCTCATTTGGTGGCTGGAAGTTGTCAAGCTGTGAATGCAATTTTTTTCCCCTCAACTCTGTCTAGGGGAATGTGAAATTAGAATATTTGTGCAGTGTTTATCTTAGTTGTGTTCCAGGGGTGCAAATTAGGGTACTTGTGCAGTGTTTATCTTAGTTGTGTCGCAGTGGGGCACTCAAGACAAAAATTTTTTTTAAGGTTGCGCAATTTTATAATTTCCGATGTGGCATGGTCGATTCCTTGATTAGTAAGTGATGATAGTAATAAGCTTAGGCATTATGTTGTGGTGTACTGAAGTGTCCTTTAGAGGTTGTGTTATGCGATTGTTGCGATTATCTTGTAAAACCAAAGAATAAAGGATAAGTCGAAGGATTGGGCAAACAGACACATCTGTGCATCGTCTTTCCCCCCATCGTCACATGCGCATGTCAAATGCCCTGAAGAATGCTATTCGCCTGTCCTCCAAAGCAGACGAGATAAGAGCATTTAGTGCTCCCCAATCTGCTCTCTAGGACGGGGAAGTAGCATTCCTAAGGACATACGACAGGTGCACGTGATCATGGGGGAAAGAACTTCACCCGAGAGAACATGTATACTTCAGTACATTACTTTGTGGTGTTTCCACCTGCATTAGGGTTCTAGGTGTTACACTTTTTTGGTACTGTAAGACCATATCCACGAGATGTATCTGGCAGTAGCCGTACAGTTGCTGTGGCACGTTGTCCGGATGGCTAGACAGAGAAAGTAGGAACTGTTGGGACGGAGTTTCTTTGTTCTGTGACTGCCGGTGTCTTTAATAGTTCTTTTACGTCTAGGTGGTTGTGATGTGCAGAAAAGAGTGCTTGGAGAGACAGGGTTTGCAAAAGCAACAGAGACGGACTGAGGAGAAGGAAGGGAACGGGCATGAAACAGAGGCAGGAGCTTAAGGGTGAAGAAGGGAAAATTGAGAAGGCAATGTAGGAGAGAGATGCGGAGAGTGGGTGGGAGTAGAGGAGGCCGAGTGTGCAGGGCGGTCGTCGTCACGCCCGTCCACGATGGCAGAAAGTATCAGCGATGCGCCGTTCCCCAGCTCCACCTCGTATCCTTGTAGGACCTCCCGCACAGAGTTTTCATTCTTCACGTTTAGTTCGATGTTGCTGGTGTTCCTAAAGACACATTAAACATTTTTTGATTCGCTGTTGAGTGCATTGAAACCATCCACATATCCAAAGCTTGCATTTCATAAGCACTTGAAAAAATTGGTATACATAAACACGTGGCTCCATGGAGTCCCGAAAGAAGAGCATCTGATTGAAATATGCCCATTTTAGGGCGGGCTCTGCTGCACCACAGTACCATTCCTTTTCTTCATCTCCCTCAGCTTCTTGCCGAACGTATCTCTAAGGTTTCTCCACCTCTTGGTGACCACCCTGACGTCCTTTAAGGAAAGATACACATTTCAGGCATTTTTTAAGAACCATATACCAATGTCTGAAAAATTATGCTTCGTGGCGCGCTCCGTCGTGCTCGCATCCATGGCTCGCTCGGTTCGCTGCTCTCGCTCGTAGTTGATGCGCTCCACAGGTGGGCCGGTCGTGAGGTGACGTCACCAAGACGTTCGCGCCATCCGTGCTGCCATTGGCTGCAGCCCTCCGAAAATCGAACAGCAGTGCGGCGAAAACCTGGCAAGTTGGTCGCATGCCGGCGCCGGACGAGGAGCCCCCGTCCGACGCTCCGGTGCGACGAAAACCCTCACCTTCGAACGTCGTTCCGGCAGTTCGCACGTCGGATCGGACAGTTTGGACGCGCACGTGTCTCGCGCTTATGGCTCCATCACCGAACTGCCAGGGCTATGTCTGGACACTCGAAAAAGTCGGCGAGAAATCCGCGACTATGATTGGTCGGCGCCGAGGTCAAGTGCGGCGTTGGCCAATTACGGCCGCCGGATTTCTCGCCGATTTTTTAGGGGCGAAGCTCCTTAGGGTCTAGCCTTGTCCGTCCGGCGTCCGTGCTCACATCGATTGCCATCCCATCTGTCTTCTTGAAAAAGGGAAAAAAAATGTTTGCGCAGCCGACAGGATTTGAACCTGTGCGGGGAGTTCTCAATGGATTTCAAGTCCATCGCCTTAAACACTCGGCCACGACTGCGGGACGAGTAGGTGGCTCTGAGATGTGGTACTAACTCAAGAACTGGGGATGTCATGGATGAAACGTTGCATGTAGCCACTCAACGTCTATACAAGAGAGGGCGCTGCGGTCAAATGCGTATATAATCGCATTAAACTTGGCATGCATTGACTCAACGTTTATAGACGAGAGGACGCTGCTGTCAAATGCTCAAATGCGTATATAACCGCGATCCATACCACACATTCTCTTTCTGACATGGACCGTTGACTTAAAGGGATGCTGAACCGAAATCTGGATTCTCCAAAACACGCGGCAAAAGCGTGCAACGGGATGCTACAAACACCAAAACATCACTCATACAGCGATATCTCGAACGGATTACCGTATTTTTTTAAAAAAAGAGGCGCATTTGGCAGGAATGTTGACGTCATGTTTTTCCGAGAAGGAGAGGGAACGGCCTCGCGTCTTCTCCGCGTCGCGGCCTTGAGAGAGCGAAGCGAAGTGAGGAGGAAACTCGGTATCTTGACGTCACGCGCCTCGTCGGCCTGGTTCAATCTCGACTTCTTTTTCCAAAAATACGGCCGTTCATTTGAGATATCGCCTTACTAGTAGTGTTGTAGGGATTGTAGCGTCCCGCCTACATCTCCAGCATTGTTTTTTTGAAATCCAAATTTAGGTTCACCATCCCTTTAAGCGGTGGAGATGCGTTCCCACGGCTTCTAGCGGATCCAAGCTGATCCGCTAGAAGAACCACCGGCTCTCCATTTCACCGACCATAAAGCAGTAATAATGAAGTCGAAACGCAACCGGGAACTCAGCACTACCTATGAGCAATAAAAAAAAAATCAGAACCATCAGCACTACCTATGAACAATAAAATCAGTATCATCAGCACCACGTGGAAATGCGGTCATTTTTTTTTTTCGTCAAGCGTCCAGATGAGGGCCCCAGGAGATACGTCGAAACGCTGACCCAACCGAGTTTCCTGAGCTCGTTCCCAGAGGCGTGGAACAGCCGACACGAGCAATGCTTTTCCTCTGCTCGGGCCTCGAGCCGCTCACGCTCGTTCGCCGCCAGCCACTGTGACTACCGTCGACTATTTTGTGCAAAGTTGTCAAGGTTAGCTTAGCTTTCATAGTGCTAGTGTCACTATACTCTGTTTCACCTTATGATGTACCGCAGGAAAGGCTACAAGCGCTAGCTCCTTGCTCAGGGCACATCTCGTCGGCACAAGCTCTCGCGCATTAAGGGCAGCTGCAAATGCTATAAGCTCGCGCTTCTAGCCTTCGCGGCGGTACAGCATAAGGTAAAACGGAGTATAGCACTGTGAAGGCTAGTGTCAAGGCTAGTGTCACTAAATAAGCTACGCTTCAGAGTAACGACACTTGCTTATATTGTGGCTTAAAATCATGGTTGCCAGTTATCTGAAGCTTTGTCTGAAATCACAGGAAACGATTTTTCTTCCTTTACAAATGTTTAAACAGTTCGAGAGAGAGCAAGGCAATATTACATGAGCTTCCCAACACCAAATCTAATGTTGAGGAATTCACACTTTTGAATCATGACGATCGTTAATTCCGTCTGCTCTGCACAAGCACCAAAATGTCGGCGCCCACAGCAATGCCGGGGAACAGTGTGCCGATACTCTAAGCGCAGCTCTTTTAGTGGCTCTACTCGAGGCTAGTTGCGCGACCGAATGCCAATGAGGCGCAAAAGATAAAGCCACGCGCTCTCGCAGCAGTGCGGGACTGCTGCGCGATAGCACAAAATAGTTGACGCAGAGCATAAAGCCTCTTAATGTGCTTGTGTTTGTATTATTGTAAGTTGCGTGAAATGCACAATTGTACAGGACCCGTTCCTCGGACTGCCCTTGGAAGTTCACTTCTTTTTCTATTTATTTTCCCATGGTACGATCTCATTTGAGGTCATTGCGGGAGTGGGGATGCAATGAGTCTTAGTAATGGTGAACAAAACAACAACCACAAAAATAAAAACACCCTAAAAAAATACGATTCACAAAAACCACGCATTAATACAAAAATAATTCATAATTGCTTAAATAAAATTATTGTGTGCGTCATGCAAATGGGAACTCCCATGTTTCGTAATTTAAATAAAATCATTGTATGGGTCATGTAAATGGGAACGCACCTTTCGTAATATGCCACAAGCGCTGGCTGGCTGTTGGCGAATTTGGGTGGTCAATCGCCGGCGAGCCCTTGCCGGTGGCACCGGCGACCAAAAACCCGCCAGCGGCGCACCACGTGACCCTCTGCACCCAAACGCAAAGTGCCGCAAACCGGCGCTTTTGTTCGCTTGGGTCGTGCGTGATCTTTGTTAACTTCTTCCTCGATTAGTGCAATGAACACGCTCCATGCCCCAAAAATATAAATTACGACTCTTTGAGATGTGTGTAAACACAAGCGGCTTCACAAAAGTTTTCAAAATATTAACATTACCACAGTCTGTACAGCTGACAGGGCCTTAAATTATAAAATCAATGAAAGGGCAGCTGTATAAATCAGTGAGGTGCTGCACGGAGGCGCGTCAAATTTCAATAAATTTTATTTGGATTTCAGATTAGCTGTTGCCATTTTACAAGGATCCCATAAAGTCTTGTCAGCGTCGCTTCCCACATTCTGTTTATCGTTATTATCTATTTTGGAATCCTCAGTCTTCTCATTGCGCCCACCCCCCTCGAAATTGTTATGCGTATTCAAGCATCGAAATGCATCACTATGCGTACTTTTTTTTTTTCAGCAATGTAATAAAGTCTTAGTACAGAGTTGTAAAACAAAGTGACGTATGATGCAGCCCGTGTCTCAGAGCAAACTGACCTTGCGCAGGCTGTACAAATTCTTCCAACCATGTTGGCTTTCTTTGAAACATAAATTATCTTTCTCCTCATTGTTTTCGTTGTCTTGTCTAGGAGCACAAATGGGTGTGTGTCTCGATGGCTTCGTTTGCCACTCGAGCCCACTATTTGCCACTTTCAGCGAGCATTGTTTGGTTTGGTTCCGTTTCCCGATTCGGATGTTACGATACCGGATACAGTCTGGCAAACAAGCTGCTCGACCTCTTGGAGCTTGGGCAAAAATCGTGCCGGTAAGCTGCCGCCGGCAGACGCCTGAGAAACGCCACCCACTGATCTCTATTATAGGGGGCTGGATGGCGCATAGCCGCTCTCCGAGCAGGGCGCAAACGAAGCCACCGGAAGTTTGATGCTTGTCCCGGAAGTCGGGCGTCTGCTGGGCTTCCTAGTGCATTCAGTCGATGTTTTGGTCCGTACTTTCCGGTATCTTTGAGTGGGTTTTAATAATCATGCTCCGAATGAAATCTCGAAAATGAAGCATTTGAACTTGGGACATATGCACACTTGATCAACTAGAATCTCAAAATGTTTACAATGAATGGCTTCCCATGATACTCCTCAGGTCTGCATGCGCTCTTACTACACAACAAGCAGGCTCTCTTGAGGTGAGAAGCGAAAATCCAGCGCCGTCGACGCTTTTCGAACCAGCACTCGGAAGGGTTACAATGCCTGCCAAGCGCTCACTTCCGGGAAAAGCCGCGCACTTCCGGTGGCTTCATACCTGTTTGCTCAATGCGCCATCCAGCCCCCTCTAGTGGAGATCAGTGGCGCCACCCGAACAGTTTGCACTCGCCAGCTTTTGAGCACGCGAACGCCCTTGCTAAAGATATGGCAAAATATTTTGCTGTTGAACAACAACCGAAACGGTTGTTGTTCGATAAAAGCTACTAACGTCTGCCGTCTGTTCCGCAATTTTCGCCAACGTTATTTGCTACATGGTGTAATACGTCAAAACCACATGGACGAAAACGAAGAGAGAACTGGATAGGACGCGGCGTAACTTTCAACTGAATGGTTTATTTCAATGACATAATTTGAAAAAAATATAAGAGCAGGCACACTTGGCAGAACACAAAGATATGGTCTAAAAACACACACCCCTCAAAGGCCAGCGTCATTGGTTCTTTATATAGTAGAATTCTTTATCAGACAAGGACAAAAAGGGTGCGCTCACACAAGAGTTGTCGTGGTAGGACTTAATCAGGAAGGCTTCGTAAATTTCTCTGGCCGTTTTTATTTTGTAATGGCCCATGACACAGGTGTCACCAAAGGTGGGGCTGCACTTTCCAGAGTTGGGCCCGCATCCGCAACGATCACAATGCACCGCTAGGTCCACTGTGTTACAAATGCTACAAGTGCTACAAATGCTACAACATCCAACGACATCTGCACCATGCACTGTGGCCTCAGCTTGCGCTTCGTTCTAAAAAGAGTAAGTGTTCTCAAACGCATATTTCGGAAGCATTTGTAGAAGCTGAGGAATACTAAGAAACACGTGTATATGCACCAACGTGCCACAGCCAACTTCCGAAGAAACAAATAATCTGTTGCAGAGTTAACAGCGTAGTGCATTCGCTTGTCTTCACAAGAACGTTGATACAGTCGAGCTATTTACTATAGCCATCGCACAGACCACGAAGCTTTGCTGTGTGAAGTAACGTGTCATATACCGTCCCCCTTACAACGCCACAATAATGTGCCACCGAAAGTTTGGCGACAGCAAAGCTTACGGCATGAAAGGACCATCCATATGCGAACACCGCACAAAGAAAATCCTTATTGATGCATCGCAAGCTCATAACACGTGTAGGGTTCTCGTCCGATTCCCCGGGCTCCTGTCTCCGGATGAACGTGACACAGCAACGCATAGCTCTCGGCAGAAGGGGTTTATTCCATTCACATTTTGCTGGGGGGTTTTGGGATCGGGAGAGGTGATCGAGGAAGCCTGGAGGGGGTGCGCCGCCACTGTATGCTGCATGCCGATCGTCCGTGCGGTGCTAGTCTACACCACATCCTGTGGACGCCGCCGTCGAGTGTCGAATCCGGGGTCTAAATCCGGACCATGTCACCGGGCCGTCGCCCGAGCCGACGTCGCGGTCGCCACCACCGCGAACGTCCGTCGTGGCCCGTATCCCGCGCGAGTCCC